GATAAAAACATTAAATCATAAAATAGCAAGCAAGCAATATTACAAATACAGAGAGATAATGAAATGAGACTAATCAATTAAAAACAAATGGTGGACAAAATAATATCAAGTATCTTGATCAAAAAGAAGAAGTATTAAAAACCATAATGCCAGGGCAATTCAATGAACCCTATCACTGAAAAGCAGTCAAATAGAAACGAGTCTTTAGACGAGACTTAAAGACTTGAAGGGACGGCGCCTGCCTAATGGTCAATGGCAATTTTCCACAGAGTTTGAGCCAAAACAGAAAATGCACGATAACCCCTCGATCGATATTTCGACCGGGGGACCACCAGAAGTTCCTGCTCGGCTGAGCGAAGAGACTGAGATGGAACATACTTGTGCAAAAGTGCAGTAATGTAAGAGGGGGCACTGCCCTAGAGGACCTTATAAACAAGAGTTAGGATCTTATATTTAGCTCGATATCGCACCGGGAGCCAGTGCAGAGCAGCAGCACTGGAGTGATGTCATCTCTGCATCTAGTACCTGCCAGGAACCTAGCCACTGAGTTCTGTACAAATTGGAGCCCTGCAACCGTGCACTGGGCCAGACCAGCATACAGAGCATTACAGTAATCCAGACGGGACAGGACGAAAGCATGCAACACACTTCAGATGAGCTCTGGATAGCAGAGGCCTGGTGCTGGATAGTCGTTTCAGATTAAAAAAACAGAACCTCACCACCGTATTTACGTGAGTGTCAAGATTAAGTGAGGAGTCAATTTTTATCCCCAAATTACTGACTATTTTCTTTTCATAGGGGGTCATTGGGCCAAGGTCAATATCAGCACCTGAGCATTTCTTTTGCCAGGACTAAGTATTATGACTTCCGTTTTGCTCTCATTTAGGTGCAAAAAATTAGAAGCCATCCAACATTTTATGTCCCATAAATAACAAAATAACAATGAATACATTTTTGTCTAATATCTGTTTCACTTTTTATCCAAATTGATAAAATACCAGCATTTTCTGCTGTTAAATGACAACAAAAAGTTTATTTTTCATCAAAACAGAGCAGTTTAAGACAACGCTGGATTTATTTTGAAAGTGGGCTGGCTAATTAGCATTTTAAGGGTATTGTGATGAGCGAGAAACAAAAACACAGTTATCTACAATTTCAGGCTTTATATTCATTTATTTGTATTTTTGATGTAGAACACACCACAGTTATGAACTTACTCGTCTGCCATTTTGTGTTTGGCATGTAACATTTGCGACACAGTGCATTATGGGATACCTTGACGGCCCAAGTTCTCAGAAAAATGCGTTGATGCCTCCTTGATACAATGGGCGAAGCAAGAACACATCCGTGAACCCTGAGCGTACTTGCCATGATACATACTCAGGATTGGAACAGTACTCGGGCTACCATTGATGACATTTCACAAGTACGTATGCACACAATTTCAGACAAGTACACATTTTGAGAAACAGCCAGGGTGTCATTTCTGCATGGATTCCATATTTGAGCATGTTTATTGTCAGCATAGTTTCTTCTGGGTCTGCTATGAAACATAGTTTCCCCCAGTTTTACACACATAGAAACATTTACACCTGCAGTTTAATCTATCTCTTAGCATTTTTTGAAGTACGCCCAAACCATACATATGATTTTATGTTTTTGGTATAGACACTTCAAACCAATGGCCTCTTCTCTGACTTTATGTTTCATGAGCCAGCACAAAAAATCTTAGTAAAGCTTTTATTTTTTATACTTAACCTTAATGGATTTAAAAATCATGACGAGTCTTTAGTCTTATTGCAGCACTATGCTGGCTGTGGTTATTCTGCTTGCTGATTCAACTCAGATGCTTAAAGAGCAAGTAACACCCAAATTAACTTTTTTTTGCTGATAACCTGTACAGATGAGTGTCTAATGGTGCTGTGCACATGTGTAATCATTAGTGTGGCAGTTAAGTGCAACTTACTTTAAATTTAATATTTCAGCCCAAAACCCTAATTATATCTCCATCTTCAGGTTAAAAACTCTGCTCCACATTTATGTAGAACCAGTTGTGGCTAATGGCTAAGCTGAAAAACGTGACGTTATCAGCAAATTACTACGTGGCTGCACCGCACTGGTCTCCAGGTGAGGCAGCCCCACCTCCACCTGGCTCAGCCACTCACCTGCCGATATGACACGCTGGCTCTCTGAGCCGCTTGCCTCCTTGAAAAAACACGCTCCTCCCCTTTTCATCTAATGATCGTGGTTAACAGGAAATCCTCCAGTGCTGCAGAATCTGTGTCTGCTTTTCTCCTGAGTAGTAAGTCTGGTGTGACTGTGTGCTTGCGTGCACGCGTGAGTGCGCGCACGCTCGTTAACAGCTAGTTTTTAGATTGAGAAACTCCGACAGCACACGGGGGGTTGAGGGGGGTGCGGTCTACTACTGCCTCAGCGCTGCTCTCTCGGTCAGCCAGGAGACGCCTCTTTCGGAAGTGCTTTCCTAACAGGAAGTGTGGATGAAATACGTCTCCACCCAGGCCTTGACCCTCACTTTAATTTTTCCAACGGCCATCGGGGAGCAATGGGTAGATGTACCTGGAATGCCAGAGCTTGCTTCATCTCACTGACTACATCAAACTGTGTGTGTGTGGGCACGCACATGTTTGTGTGTTTATCTGCATCTGCATCACGACAGCCCCTTCACCTCTCTACTAAAGTCTTTCATCTATGGAAGTGGGACCACACACACACACACACACACACACACACACACACACACACACACACACACACACACACACACACACACACACACACACACACACACACACACACACACACACACACACACACACACACACACACACACACACACGGGGGCACACCCAGACACATTTTCAGTTTTGGACCAGCAACTGAAGAGCAGGGAAGTTTAACAGATGGCGCTGACTGTATCCATTTCACAGATTACTCACAATCACACCCGTTCTGCAACCACTGGCTTTGTGAGTTCACCTCATTTAACTGAATGGTGTTTTTATGACGCATGGCAACATTAGAGCCACCTACTGCTTTAATCTGTCCCTCTCTGATCTGCATCTAATACCGGACTGGGAGCACTTGGTAGGAAAGCCAGAGTGTGGCATCGTATTTGCCCGTCTGAATGTTGTTTGATTTGGTGATGGTCTAGCGAGTGTGGTGATATAATGTTTTATGACGGCATTGAGAAACAGTCATGTGGATCTTCTACCAAGAACAGCTACTCCTCAGTTCTTACCGCCCCACTAAAAGGTGTTGTAAAACAAGTTATCAACATCCCATGTGTGCCCTTTTAGTTGCACACATGTTATCTAAATCAAATTACTCAAGCTAAAAATGGACTCAAACATTTTCTTCTTTGTAAAACTTTATGACAATGAAATGCTCATTCGGTCACAAGAGTTATTTATTAAATGGGATAATCATGATCATACTATTGATGATAAAATGTACCCTATGAGAGTTTTTAGTTTTCTATTATTCATTGATTGCTTACTATTGTACTAAAGGCCCCTTTAACACCAAATTGAGACCCCAGCTACATTCATCACAACTTACCTAACCTTTATTACTCATTCAGTGCGAGCATTGTCATGAAGCCACAACACTCCTAATACTTCACAATAGGGGCTTTTCCCTTCTTTTCTTCATGTTCTTGAGACAGTCTCTTCTTCTGTCAACAAGATCTGTCATCAGCTGGTTCATTCCTGGTATCGTGACCCTCTCACACTGCAACAGTAAGCAGCTAGAAGGTCACATCAACATGAAGCTGGCAGTCTGATGAGGTCTTGGGATCAGTGTGGCCAGTACTGTTTTGAATCCATCACAACTAAGCCACACCAATGTGGCATTACATTATGGATGCACTGTCACCACCTCAGCCACGCTTCACTCATGACCCTGATAGGCTACTCCTAAAATGATAAAGCACTACAACTACTGTGGGAGTTTTGTGCATGTTCAAAACTTGTTGACCTATCATGTAATGGCATGCCCGCTGCATTCCTAATGTACCCAAAGACCTCCCCTAGACCCCGCAAAGGCCACATTCTTGTGGATTTTCTTTTCTTGTGTGAAGGAGGCTGAAAAAAGGAAAGGTTTCTGACACCTAGTCAAGGACATGGAAGGTGCTGAGTAGCAGCATTTCAATGAAATAATTTTCTTTTTGTGATAATACATTGTATTTTTATTTTATAGAACCTACCTAATAAAGCGTATTAACAAAACTTACGAAAGAAAAATGTTTACACTAAAACCAACAAAACAAAAAGTGGTAGTGGAGTCGAACCTGAGATTACTGTTAGAATATCCCAGACTTCCCTTCTCCCAGCCACTTGGACCAGCTCTTCCGGGGGAACCCCAAGGTGTTCCCTGGCCAGCTGAGAGACATAGTCCCTCCAGCCTGTCCTGGGTTTTCCTTTAGGTCTCCTCCCGACATGGAAAGCCTCACCAGGGAGGGGTCCAGGAGGCATCCTAACCAGATGCCTGTGGCACCTCAACTGGTTCCTCTTGAGTTGGAGGAGCAGCAGATCTACTCCAAGCCCCTCCCGGAAGACTGAGCTACTCACCCTATCTCTAAGGGAGAGCCCAGACCCCCTGCGGAGAAAACTCATTTGCTTGTATCTGCATTGCCATTCTTTCGGTCACTACCGAAAGCTTGTGACCATAGGTGAGGGTAGGAACGTGGATCGACCGATAAATTGAGAGCTTCGCCTTCTGGCTCAGCTCTCTCTTCACCACGACAGACCGGTACAACGCCTCACTAGTGAACAAGATCCCAAGATACTTAAACTCCTCCACTTGAGGCAGGACCTCATCCCTGACCCAGAGTTTGGGATGTCCATTTCACTACCTCACCTTTCTTCTTTCCACCCTTAATTTAGTTCATATTCTTTTTGATTTGCTAACACTCTCTCAAACCTTCTGCAATATTTCTACCTTCTCTTGTCTCCCTAACCCTTGTTCTTTCTGTTTCCTAGCCAGCAGATTTGGATGCATGGGTAAGCAGCAATGATATTACCTTCTTACTTTTTATGCTTTTTCTCGTTCTTTTTCACAAGCTCTCCTCTATTCAAATGTCATGTTTTCATTGTGCTTTAAAGCAAGGCTTCAAGTGTGCTGCCACCGCCATTTCCCACAGCAACACTTTGGGAGGTATTCAGCTAGAAAATTACACATCATCTGTGCTTCTGGCAGAGGAGATTTCACATGCAAACACACATCTACACACCTCCTCTAAGCATCAAACAGCTGCTGCAGGAAGGGAAACATACAATGGAGGCAGTGCAGGTATTTACTTCTGTGCTCGGCAGTGATGTGTGTGTCTGTTAAATTTGGATGAGATTACATTGGATTACAGTAAATATAAAGGCAATCAGTCTACATTAGCCTGTCTGCATGTTTGTATCCTCTGTGCCATCAGAAGCACAGAAAATGAATGGCTCAATCCATCATATCTGTATAACTCATACTAATGCATGACTTAGGTACAGTGATCACTCATCATTACACTACAACATTTATTTGAGCATGGTACATGTTGGATAAAGAATGCAAACATGAACTCTGTAGAGGCTGACATCACCTGTTTTCTCATCTAATGAGATACAATGTACCATTGAGATTCTTGCGGTTTTAAGAGATGTTGACATGCCCAAAAAACAAAATGTAAGTCTGAAATATTAGCTCTGGAAATAGGGGGCTGCACTTCATAATTAACCACTCATGGGATTGCTCGACTCTGATTGAATTTTGCGGAGTAACTAGCATTTAGACACATTATTAATGTCTTGCTTCTTCAAAGGCAGTTTGAAATCTGGGTGTTGTGATTGATGAACACCTGACCTTTAAAGATCATGTTGCCTCTGTTGCTCGTTCATGCCGCTTTGCGCTGTATAACATACGAAAGATCAGACCATACCTAACACAACATGCCACCCAGCTCCTGGTGCAATTTACTGTCATCTTCCGCCTCGATTACTGCAATGCCCTTCTAACTGGTCTTCCAGGCAGTACTGTGAGACCTCTTCAAATGGTCCAGAACGCAGCTGCACGTCAAAAAGAGCACACGCCACCCCTCTGTTCATTGAGCTCCACTGGCTCCCGCTAGCAGCAAGCATCAAATTCAAATTGCTAACACTAGCATACAAAGTCCGAGATGGTACGGCTCCCATCTACCTGAATCCTCTTGCAAAGGCTTATGTCCCTGCCCGGCCGCTCCAGTCATCACAAGATCATCGGCTAGCAGTGCATACACCACTCTCAGGACAATCCAGACTCTTCTGATGCATCGTTCCACAAATGTGGAATGACCTACCAAGCACTACCAGAACTGGGGCTTCCTTTTCAATTTTCAAGAAACTCCTGAAGACCCTGCTTTACAGAAAGAATCTTCTAAACTAGCACCCTCCCTGCACCCGTCCCCCCTCTCTACCGTCCACTCCACTACTTTTTCTTTTTCTTTATTTTTTTCACGAGTAGCACATGTCTCCTTGTGTACGACCGACAAACCTTACTGGACATAAAAGACGGATTTTCTCATTACTTTCCGGAGTTCAGGTTTTTCATCACGGACCCGCCGTTTGCAGATCCCCCATTCATCTCACCTGAGATGCCTTTGTTATGGGCCTGTGGAGGCAGCAAGCGCCGACGCAGAGGGAGAAGATCTGGCGTTCTGGTTCGACTGAGATGGCGCACTAACAGACCACCATTACCCAGTTTACTACTGGCTAATGTGCAGTCCCTGGAGAACAAGCTGTGCGAGCTTCGGGCTCGGATCTCATTCCAGTGAGCGATGCGGGACTGCTGCGCGATCTGCCTCATAGAAACCTGGCTATCTGACAAAGTACCGGACACCGCAGTACAACTACCGGGGTTCTTCGTGCACCACGCGGATAGGTCACAGGAGCTTACTGGGAAAAGCAGAGGTGGCGGTGTGTGTTTCATGATCAACAACAGCTGGTGTGATTATGCGAACGTGCACCCGGTCAAATCCTTCTGCTCTCCGGACCTGGAGTACCTGATGATTAAGTGCCGGCCATTCTGGCTACCGCTGTTTACATTCCCCCACAAGCCAACACTGACCGAGCACTCAGAGAACTGTACAGCGGGATCAGCAAG